CACACACACACACACACACACACACACACACACACACATGCATACACACACACTCACACACACGCATACACACACCCGCGCACACACACGCATACACAAACACATACATGCACGCACACACACATGCACATACACATACACACATACGCACTTACACGCATACAGACACGAACACACACATACACACACATACCCACACACACACCCACCCATACGCACACCCACCCACATACACATACAAACACTTACACACACACACACACACACACACACACACGCATACACACAAAAACAAAAACACACCAAAGACATCTTGAAATAGCTGGAGCCTTGCTAAGTGCTAGAGTCTTTGATCCTTACGGAATTGATCGCCTGAAATTTGGGAATTGACGGCAACGGTGGAATGATGCGCGAATATGTGTCACAAAGATTGATCAAAGTAATGAGCAAGAGTTGTGTTCAGCAACTTGCCTAGCCACCTATAATTCTGAACTCCGTCTCGATAAGCCATATGAAAATTTTGTGAAATTCTCATAAAATGTAAAAATTCTCAAAAAAATGAAATTTTATTTTCGAAAGACTCTCTTTTTTTTAGAGCAGGAAGTGGTGGGAACCTGGGATCAGTCATACAGCCACAACGCCAGTAATATAACGATTTACAGTAATAGATTCTGGAACTAATTGTGATGGTTTTGTTTAAAGCAGCGAATATTTTAGTTGCTGAATTTAAATGAAGCAGCCGAAAGGTTGGGTGTGCAGAAACGACGCCTTTATGATATAACAAATGTACTGGAAGGAATTGACATGATCGAGAAAATGGGCAAAAATAGCATACGATGGAAGTAAGTTTCTTTTTTTCCAGGATTTTTCCCCCTGATGGGATGTGTATGAAGGTTTTCTGGTGCCGATTTGTAAGGATCGAAATTTAACCTTTCAAATTTCAGAACCAATTTTGGTAGATTTCATTCATTTTATGATAGGTATAAGTTGCTTTCTTGCTGTATGTATTCATGAATTATAAGTTGTTTTTTTTTTGATCTGCATCTACGGTAGTTTTGATTTACGTTTGCAAAGCATCAATTTTAGGAGTCGTGATGAACTCGGTTCTTGTGGAATCGAAGCTCAGAGGCTAAAAGAAGAAAATAAAGATTTGGAACAACAGGAGCAGTTTTTGGATTCACTGATCTCAAATGTTTCGAGCGCTTTGAAGCTAGCCAAGGAAGATCCAACTGATCAAGCTTATGGGTAATTTTCATAAAAATCTTTGAAAAAAAAAGGTTTCTCTCATTTTAGGAGATTGTCAAAGTGGATGGTATATAAATATTATATATTATGTATAAATATAAGTATATAAATATAAGTATATAAATATTATATATTATGTATAAATATATCCCCAAAATCATACGGTCGAACATAATATTTGAGTATATGATTTTGAAAGTATGTGAGCTAAGGAGATTAATTTTCAGTGGACCGAAACATTTTTTACCATTATATTTTACAACATTTTGCAACTTTTACTAATTTCTTAATAATATTTGCTTTTTCTTTCTCCAGTATCAAAATATTTTTCTATTTCAACGCTGGGGACATTTTATAAGGTGGGGAACGTAAAGTTTGGTGCCTACGACCATTGCAACCAATATACCGTGAAATAGAGACGTTTGCCTGTTTTATTTCAATTTTATTTATCAAGCGAAAGGTTATAAAAAAAAAAAAAAAAGATGACAGAAGTCTCTTTTTCCGCAAATTAACTCTGAGGAATCCGAAGAAAGATCTTGAGCGCTGCAACCGTTGCATGGAAAGCCAGAAATATCGTAATTTTTCAGAGCTTTTTATAGAAATTCGTTAGATGAAACTCATTTTTTCAGCTTATCGTGATTTTTTAGGCTCATTTCTCCTGATTGTACTGAATATTTTATAAATAATATGTTGGCCATTGCAGCTACGTGAAATATTTTGAGTTGTGTTCGCTGCCAGGAATGTCCGAGCAGACGTTAATAGCAGTGAAAGCACCGGCAGATTCCTATTCTTCTATAGATGTAACGGATCCGGTTGAATCTGGGGTATTTATTCTTATATATTGTTATTTATAATTATTCCTATTTTATTTTTTTACTGTTTTTTCATATTTTTCGTGATAATTCTTAATCCCTATTTGTTGTTATTTTACTTGATATTTAAGCAGTACTGTGTTTTTTTTTACTGCTTTTATTCCGGAAAGAGTTGAACGACTAATCCTCCTCCTACTCAACGCTATGATGACTTTTTTTTGCAGAAATTTGAAATGATGATCAGGAATACGATGGGCCAACCGTTGGAAGCCTATCTGTGTCCAGATATTTTGCCTGAAGCAACTCCAGAACAAAACGAGGTTTGATTAAGGAAATTTTGCCGCTGCGCAGTACCATGCCAGGCATTGATTTATGAAGTAGTTGTTTGCCTTTTTTATGCGTTTTTTGCAGCTATGCAATGCAGAAAACGCATATTGACGAGAGGTTGTCTGTGTGTCCTTGTGTTTATGTGTCTGTGCGTCTGTGTGTGCGTCTGTCACGCACTTTCATCTCAGGATCTATAAAAGCTTCGGGGCTGAAATTTCGGGAACTTAATCCACATGACGTACCGCCCCCAATCCCCAAAATGGACGCCAAAACCCGCGTGGTACCCGCGTACGGGCCCGCCAAAGTCTTTTTGGGGTCAGTTCATAACTCGAGGATCTGT